TTTGACACAATTAAAGGGAGAAATAGACAGTAACACAATAATAGTAGGAAACGTCAATACCCCCACTTTTAATAATGGATAGAACAACCAGACAGAAGATCAATAAAGAAATAGAGGAACTGAACAACACTGTAGACAAATTGGACCTAACAGATATATACTGAACACTCCACCCAACAACATAATATACATTGTTCTCAAGTGCACATAGAACTTTCTCCAGGATAGACTACATGTTAGGCCACAAAACAAGCATTAACAAATTCAATTAGATTAAAATCATCTAGGGCCGGCCCCGTGCCTTAGCGGTTAAGTGCGCACGCTCTGCTACTGGCGGCCCAGGTTCAGATCCTGGGCGCGAACCGACGCACCGCTTCTCCGGCCATGCTGAGGCCGCATCCCACATACAGCAACTAGAGGGATGTGCAACTATGACACACAGATATCTACTGGGGCTTTGGGGGGAAAAAAAAGGAGGAGGAGGATTGGCAATAGATGTTAGCTCAGAGCCGGTCTTCCTCAGCAAAAAGAGGAGGATTAGCATGGATGTTAGCTCAGGGCTGATCTTCCTCACAAAAAAAAAAAAAATCATCTAAAGTATCTTTTCTGATCACAATGGAATGAAACTAGAAATCAATAGCATAAGGAAAACTGGAAAGTCCATAAATGTGGAAATTAAACAAAACATTCTTATCTAACCACTGGATCAAAGAAGAAGTCACAAGGGAAATTAGAAAATACCTTGAGACAAATTAAAATAAAAACACAACATGCCACAACTATCGGATGCAGCAAAAGCAGTGTTAAGAGGCAAGTTCGTAGCTGTAAATGTATACATTAAAAGAGAAGAAAGATCTCAAATCAACAACCTAACCTTACGTCTCAAGAAACTAAAGAACAAACTAAACCCAAAGCTAGCAGAAGGAAGGAAATAAAGATTACAGCAGACATAAACAAAAGAGAGAAAAGAAAAGCAAAAGAAAAAATCAGTGAAACTAAGAGTTGGTTTTTTGAAAAGATCAACAAAATTGACAAACCCTTAGCTAGATTAATTAAAAAGAGAGATGACTCAAGTAACTAAAATCAGAAATGAAAGAGAGGACAACTGATGCCACAGAGATAAAAAGAATTATATGAGAATACTATGAACAACTGTATTCCAACAAATTCGATAACCTAGAAGAAATGGATAAATTCCTAGGAACGCACAACCTACCAAGACTGAATCATGAAGAAACAGAAAATTTGAACAGACCAATAACAAGTAAGGAGACTGAATCAGTAACCAAAAACTTCCCAATGAAGAAAGCCCAGGATCAGATGGCTTCACTGGAGAATTCACCAAACATTTACAGAAAACTTAACACTAATCCTCCTGAAAATCTTCCCAAAAATTGAAGAAGAGGGAACACTTCCAAGATCATTCTATGAAGCCAGCATTACTGATATCAAAGCCAGAAAAAGACACTACAAGACAAGAAAACTACAGACCAATATCCCTGAAAAATACTGATGCAAAAATCCTCAATAAAATACTAGCAAATTGAATATAACAGCACATTAAAAGGATTATACACCACGATCAAATGGGATTGATTCCTGAAATGCAAGCATGGTTCAACATATGAAATATGAAAATCAATCAATGTAATAAAAATAAAACTACCATATGATCCAGCAACCCCACTTCTGGGTATATATCCAAAGGAAATGAAAAGAGGATATCAAAGAGATATCCGCACTCCTATGTTCAGTGCAGCATTATTCACAACAGCCAAGACATGGAAACAACCTAGGTGTCTACCAACAGACAAATGGATAAAGAAGATGTGGTATATATATATATACAATGGAATTATTCAGTCATGAGAAAGGAGGAAATCCTGTCGCATTCTACAACATGGATGAACTTTGAGGACGTTACGCTAAGTGAAATAATCCAGACAGAGAAAGACAAATACTGTATGATCTCACTTATATGTGGAATTTTTTTTAAAAAGTCAAATGCATAGAAGCAGGGAGTAGAATGGTGGTTAGCAGGGGCTGGGGGCAGGAAATGGGGAGATGTTGGTCAAAGGATACAAATGTGTAGTTATGTAGGAAGAATAAGTCTAGAGATCTAGCACAGGCATAATGACTATACTTAATACTGTATTGAACACCGGAAATAGGCTGAGAGTAGATTTCAGGTGCACTCATCACACCAAAAAAATGGTAACTATGTGAGGTGATAATAAGTTAATTATCTTGACTATAGCAATCATTTCACTATATGCATATCAAATCATCACATATATTTTAAATATATACAATTTTTATTTTTAAAAAATGGTTAAGATGGTAAATTCTGTTTTTTTACCACATACAAAAAAATGATGAACTTAGTAAAAAATGGAGAAAATTTATGAACCAAGAAAATTTACCCAAGACATATAAATAGCCAATAACCATATAAAAAAATAAGTTCACTAGCGATAAAAATTTTTTTTAAAGATTCCATTATTTACTTATCAGAGTGGCAAAAATATCAAAGATTAACACCAGGTGTTGGCAAGGGTGTGGTGAAATGGGCACTCAGAGTATTGAGAGGAACGTAAATTGATGTAATTCTGTAGGGCAATTTTGCAAAAAATATATCTCTATATATATTTACATATTTTAAAACATTTTTGACAAGAATTTTTATATTTTTTAAAATAAATCGTTACTCTTTTTTAAAAAGTCTGTGTCCTCTGATCCTACAACTCCACTTTCAGGAATATATTCCAAAGAAACATTTTGACAGATGGCCAAAAATAGGTTTTCAAAAACGTTTATGGCAGCTATGTTTATAGCAATGACCCAGATAGGAGGTTAAGCAAATATTTATGCATACTGAATACCAGCCACTGAAAATAACAATGTAGATATTGATACAGGAAAGCATTCCCAATATACCGATAAATGAGGAAACCAAGTTACAAAGCAGTCTGGGGGGGGGGGGGATATGTGTATATTTCCATAGGGGAAAGTACAGAAGGATACATACCAAAATGTAAAAAGCACTGGCTGTTGGAATCTGGAGTAATTTAAATTTTTTTCTAACTTTTCTACAAAATCTGCACAAGTTTTAGAATATGGGTTAAAAAAAAAAAAAAACCCTCAATGTCTTTCCTTTTTACCAGTAGAGTCCAACCCATACATTTATGACTTCTCAGCTGAGATAAGAAAAAGATCTCCACAAAACACAGCCAACCTGTGATGAATTTCTCAAGCTGTATTGTGAATAGGCAGGAGAAGTCACAATATAAACAATCTTCTCCATCTCAACCTACTTCTTTCAAGCAGTTTCTATCCAGGAAGCCAGAGCACTGACAGGGCCTTCTTTGATAAGGAGAAAGCAGAGAAGCAGTTCTTTTCCTTTTGGAGGAACAGCTGGAGCAGAGAAGTTAATGCACAGTACCTAAGTTCAAACCTAAATCAAAGCTCTCCCACATGCACTGGCCATATGATTTTAAGCAAATTACTTCTCTGTTTCAGTTTTCCCACCTGTGAAATGAGGGAAATACTACCGATCCTCACTGTAGATAGAGCAGTTATAAACACAAAGCTTGGCTATGATTAAGTACTCAAGAGCACAGAATGGAACCCATAAAAATAATTCAAAGGACCATAAAATCAGTGTTTCTGTTATAATTTTTTAAAAACATGCTTCATTCCTGCCTCCAATACACGAACAGAAAAGCAGAGAGACAAACCCGTAGCCTGAGTAAAAAGATACCCAAACAGTAGATTAGACGTGGCTTCAGGGCACAGAGCCACAGGCACTCAGGTCGAAGTGCTCTAGGCCGGTGTGCACCAGACACCGCGGGCAGAGTGGCGAGCAATCACCCCCAACTGCGAAATCGAACGAAGCAGCAGAGGTCCTTCGAGGGCAAGGGAGGACGTACTGCCCTGACGGCCCGTATAAATCTGCCAAGAAAATATTCCGCGAAAGGAAGCGGAGAAAAAAGATCTGGACGTCAGCATTTGGTACCGTCTTCCTGGATCTTCGCGACAAATGCACTCAAAGCGACCCAGGCGTGCTCAGTCTCCCCCGAGCGCAGCACTGGGTTTCACAGGCTCCCTGCTGGGCGAGAGCAAAGAAAACGAGGGCGAGTCGCCGCCGAGAGAGGAGCAGGATTAAGAACTGCGGGGAGACGGAGCGTGGCCGTGGGAAGCTGGGGGCGGGGGAATTACGGAGGGAGCGGAGTGGAGTCGGGGCATTAGGTGGGGAGGTGAAAATGACCGAGGCCAGAGGACAGGGGGAGCGGCGGGCACCGCAAGGCACCGCGCAAAGCGACGGTGCGAGGCAGAGGGAGCCTCATTCTTCCTCGGCGGCTCCTCTTCTGGTCCCGACCTTTTCCATAAAGTAAGAGCAGTCATCTATCTCCCAGGTTGGGACGAAGAAGAAAGGGGGCCTTTGAAAGTTCTGAGGGCCAGAAGAGGCCCCCAACTGTTTGGGATCTTTCCAGAAGGATCCACACTCATGCCTCTTCCGCCTCCCCGGAGGCCGGGACCCAGTTCCGGGAAGTGGGGGGAGGGGAGCGCCCACAGCACCCCCACCGCCGTCACTCTACAAAGGTCGCACGCTCCCAACGGCAGCCGCACGCCACCCACAGTGGCGGCGCGACTCCACTACCGCCAGTGCGCTCCCATCGTTCTCCCGAGGCGACGCGCGCCTCTCGCCCAGCTCGCCCGCCGCCGTCCTCAGACCGCGGGTGGCGGCGCGCTCGCTCGCGAGTCCTCACACCCGGAGGAGTGATCCCACCCCTCACACGTGCGAGGCCCCGCCTCAACCACCTCCGTATCCCCAACATCCGCGAGGAGACGCGCGCCCTCCGGGGGTAGGGGAGGGAGTAAGCCTGACGCGCCCGGAAAAGGCGGGAAAGTGTCTGATTCGCTGAGAGTCTGCCAGCCGCCAGCTCTACTCCGTCGTCTCCTCCCTCCTCTGGCCGCACCCCGGGCTTCCCCTCAGGCACCTTTCGCCAAAAGGGATGACGGCCCCGCGGCGGCTCTCGGTGTGGCTCTGGTTCACCGCCATCTTGCTCCAGCCCCCTCCTGCCGCCCCTCAGATGGGAAGGGGCGGGGCCTGCGCCAAGCCGTCGGGCGGGGCTCTGAAGGGGAGGGCGGAGATTATGGCGCAAGGACGGGGAGTGAGTGGGCGAGGCGGCTGGTCACGTGAGGGGCAGTGGTCAGAGGATCAGGCGGAGTCAGAGTTGAGACACGCCCCTGATGGGGAAGGGGCGGGTCCAGAGGATTGCCTCCACCCCCAGAGCACAGAGGGGTGAATGAGAGGTGGGTGGTCGACCTCCACTCACCCTCTTGGCCCCTGCGTCGTGGCCCCCGCATGGCTCCCCTGCTGCCCACGGGTATGGCCTTGAATTGGTCTTGTGAGGAATCAAAGTTAAAAGCAGGACTTTCCTGCCCCCTCCCTGCTCAGGTCAAAGAGCTGCTGCCTTTTGCAGAAAGGGTCCGGAATGATTCCTCGCCTCTTATAAGGCAGGCAGAACTTTTTTCCACTAGAGAAAGCCTGGAATCAGGGCCGGTTTCCTGTGAGGTAGCATCTAGGAACGGGTGCATGAGCTGGGTCAGGAGAGTCCGTGCCTGCTCCAAGATAGAGAGGGCCTGTGTCACCCATCGTATCTGCCCTGCTTCCCCCAAAGGGGGAAGGTTCCGGGGGGATACATTATACCAGAATTGCTCTGGAGACCAAAATGTTGTACATATTCTTATTTCCTTTAAACTTCACAAATAGCACCAGATGGCTTCAAACAAAGGGATGTTATCTTCTGGACTACTGTATTTCATCAAATTTAAGATGCTATAAGTTATAAGATGCAAAATTTTTAAATGTACCACTAAGAAGAAAAGTTGCCAAATAAACTGACATGTCATCGGTTGTAAGCTGTATCCTGATTTCAGAAATATATATATATATGTACAAGACTAAGAATAAATGAAATACAGTAGGAATGGTGTGAAGCAATGGAACTAGCATTGAGATGTGGCCCCCATCTTGCGTTGGTAACTAAGTGTGCGACTTTGAGCAAGACAGTTATGCCTTCTGGACTTAAATTTCCATATCTGTATGAAGGCATTGGACTAGAAGAACTCTTAGTTCTTCTCTTAGCTGTAATATAAGTTCACAAAACTGCTCTATCACTCAAATCTTCTCACTTCTCTCCATCTTCGTTTGGCATTTCCACTCTAGTTCAGGCCCTCATCATTTTACCTGAATGACTCCAAGGGGCTCCTGACTTGTCTTCCTCCAGTCTTGACCCCCCCCCAGCCCGTTCATCTATACCTTGCACTTACCCTACAGAATATTGAGGCCCCAAACACAATTGCATATATGGTCACCACATTCAAATTCACAGACATAATATACAAGTGAGACTTGTGTTATTTGCTGGCTACAGAAGAGAGCAGGAACCTCAAGGAAAGGAAGGATTGGTTTAAGTTCAAAAAAGACAAGAGATAAACCAATGCTTTAAGTTTAAATTCTTAACTCTTAAATTATTCACTGTAAATAGGCAGGTCTCTAGGCAACATGGGTCCACTCCTTTCATAGACTTGGTTTTTATGCCTTCTGGAGAAAGGAAAGGAAAAGCTAGGAAATTAAGTGAATGAAAATAAACATTGTTTTCATAAAAAGAGACAGGCTATGCAGAGCACTGCATCTCTCAAGGTCAAGCGTGATAGCTCCATCACTCATCTTGGATACAACAGCCAAGGAAATAATGACTGGGATCCAACCTCATGCCAACTGAAGACAAACAACGACCTCATTAAATGTTTTCCATCTCTAATTTCTGTGGCTACTTCTTACCAAGATGGTCCCTGTCTCACCCTCCACACATGGGTGAGATGGTGTAATGGCTGATTTGGCCAAAGAGTGAGGAGAGCAAATAAGACACAGGCCAAACGGTTATTGTTCAAACAGCAATGTTTAGTTGTACAACACATAAAGTCTAGCAACATTTACACAACCAGTTTGAGTGTCTGTTGGCTTGTTTTCAATTGGGAAATTTAACCATAATGTCACCAAAAGGTTGGCTGGGACTGGTAACATTTAAGAAATGGGTCGTTCTTGCATCCCCTAGGCTTGGGCTTCTTGCTCCATCAAGACTTGTTGTAGATGAATGGCCCACAAGTCACCAGCCTTTAAGCAAGTTGTGTCCAGGTGGAGACGGGGGAGTGGGGGGAAGGGGGAATTTCATAAAGACACAGTGTGTGGGGCAGTGGCAGCCGACATTCGCAAACATTCATGCATCTGATGAGGGGGCTTTGCCCTCCATTGGGCATTTTCTACTAGCCTACAGTGACCAACTGTGGCCAGGGAAATTCATTACTCACATTAACAGGGTGGAGGTGTGGGGTAGGAGTAGTCAGGGTAGGTGGGAAGAGATCCTTCTTATTGCTAAGTGGACAGAAGGATGTTTTTCTTCCTAGAGTGCACATCTCATGGGTTTCTGGAGTCTTTTGTCTGTGTTTAGTTCTTTTTTTAAGTTTGAGGATAAGAAAGTCAACTCCTGAAATGTTTCTTCAGGAAAACCACTCTTCCTAAGTGGCTGCATTTTGGGGGGGGGGGTGTGAAACCACCCTCTGAGCCAGCCACAAGTGGTGATTTTTAAAAAGGGACACTAGCCCTTGCTCCCCCACATCTGTAGTGACCCATCCTTATAAATAAGCTATAAGCAATGAAGGAGACACCCTTGTCCCACATCAGGGCTCACACAGTTGACGTCAACAAATCTGACAAGCAGAAAAGTTGCTTTCTTGACCCTTTAAGAAAGCCAAGAGTAGCTCATGCAGATGAATGGAGAGGGAGCAATGCCATTTCCCTTGGAGATGGTTACAAGTAGCTCGTATGGGTTTGCAAGGGCAGAAGAAGCTCTTGATGAGTTCTTTCAGCCTACAGATGGGCTGGGACCGGCTGACACAGACGATGGAGGAGGGCAGTGCTGGCACGAACTCCATTCCACTGGGAGAAGAGGGGTGGTTTGGATAAACAGAGGAAGCAACTGTCCTAAAGAGGCAGCTGGCCCCTCCCACCTGCTAAGGGCTCAGAGGGGCTGAGGTGGTGGTCTGGACAAGCACAGCACTAAAAAGGGCATGGCCCTGCAGCAGTAACAGCTGAGAGGAATGGAGGGAGAAGCAGCGCTTGAAATGGCCTTCATTCTGCAGTGGGGCAGGGGGTGGCTGGCACAGGTGGAAGGACAGTGCCCAGGAGGCCTTCTCCCTGCAGGGGGGTTGAGAATGGTTGAGGTGTGGAGACCAGCAGCTGGCAGCAGACATATAAAACAGCTTCTCCGGGGAGGCTGAGATCACGGTTTGGGGGCGCCAAGCATCATTCTCCTAGTCAGCCTCTCCAATGCCCACCATCCCCACCCTAGACCTTTCCTGCTAGTCCTAGGTGTCCAGGCCCACATCTCCATACAAGACCGCTCCGTGTATAAGCCAGAGATCCCTCTTACATTGAAATATAGCAATCTCTGGGCTCTAACCCTGCTGCCGTTCTATCCTGACATGTGCCTACCCTGGCATAACTTTGGGGGCGAGGCAGGATGAAATTGGTAAAGAGCCTCCAGGAAAGACTGAGACCATTGGTTTGGGGTCACTGGCAATCTGATCATCCACCTCTTTCTCCTGGTCCACTGAATCTTGGTCTTCAGTCTATGTGTTTTCCTAGCACCTGAGTGATAAGGGACTATAAATGCTGAGATTTGTAGAGGACCAGTAAAACACCTAAGGTTGGACCAGGAGATGGGACAGGAGGTTGTATGAGGTTACTGTAAACTCTATCACTTGGTGTTTTCCGTTGCCTAAGGCTAAAGTGTTTCCCCAGCCCCAGATGTCAGCCACTCTACAGACTAGAGAAGAAAGAGTAACTTGTTTGTGAAACAAACAGGGGATATATATGCATTAATAAATACAGGGCTGAAGGCAAAGGCAAGAAGAGTCTAAATGTTTGACGGTAAGTGTCATTGGGAATGTCTACAGGAGTCAGGAGGGGGAATCAGGGAAAGACAGAAACAGATAGACAGACAGACAAAAATGCAATTAGCTTCAGCACAAGAGTGAAAGAGAACAGTGTGGAAGGAAAGAGGGGATCAAGTATGGATGAGAAGAAGGGAGCAACAGAGAAGCCAGCTTTAAGGAGGAAGAATCCTGATGGAGAAAAGGGAGATGTCATTTAAAATTTGTCTCTGAAGCCAAACCACCAAGAAAGATAAATACTGTATATAGTTCTTGATACTTCTTTAGACTCAGTTCTTCTAGAACTTAATGCCTAAAAAAAGGCTCATCTCACTTGACCAGCATGTGTGCTTCTGTAACCGGATACTGGGAACCGCGTACCTCTCCATGTTTCCTCCCTTGCCTGGGCTGCCCACAAGCTCAGGGCCAATTTCAGCGCTCGACGGAAAGACCTTTCCTTCCCGTTCCTCTCTATGGATCCGATTTCTCTCGTAATCTCAGTTTGTACTGTCCTGTGCTTTTAGCTGTAATTTTATTTTAAGGTGGCCTAAGTCATTTTTGGAAGTAGACTGGGCATAAATCCTAAATATAGAAATGTAGCTAAAGTGGATTAGTATACAAGGAAGTGAAGGAAGTCCAGAGGGGGGCAGGATGAAGAAAGGATGAGAAGGGGAAAGAGAGAAAGTGGCAGCAGAGGCAGGTGAGGTGAGGTGAGTGTGGAAAGCGCCAGTCTGTGACAGCGACAAGTGGTAGCTCCCGGACAGTGAAGGCGACACAGACTGAAGGGTGGAGCTCTCCTCTCCACTTCTAGGCACTAGCTCTTTCTGCAGGAGCCCAGCTCCAGCCTACTCCTCTGCTCTTCCCTGACCTTCCTTTTCCCAGGAAGTCCCAGCCTTACCCCAGACCACCCAGGGCTGACAAGGAAGGTTAAGCCCCAAACTCCTCACCCCCATCCCAGGTCTAGCTCCGCAGCCTGTCTTTGGAGAATCTCTGCAGTCCCAGGTTGTGGGCAGGGTCAGAGATAAGAAGGAGTTACCTGGGGCTCACCTGCTCCCATCATTTTTAAATGAAACCTCCCCCAGACCTCTTGAGTGAGGCACACGGCTTTGTTCTGGGACACAAGGAAAGGAGACAGATAATGGACAGCCATGGAGGAACCAAACTTACAAGGGACTTACCAGGGAGGGCACTGAAAATACCTCACCCCTGCACACGCGCGCTCACACACACACAAGGCACACTCTCTCCCTCTCATACACATACATACACACACATACTGTAGACAAGATGCTCCACAAATACCAGACAGGCCTGTGGGACAGAGTAGAAAGGAAGAAGGTGGTTGGTAGTGGTATTTGGGATGCGTGTGTGTGGAGCAGTGGGTATGTGTGATGATACAGAGAAAGGGTCATCATGGGTTACTGTCGTGGCTTTCCTCTGTGTCCACGCTCACCGGAGGGAGGCCTCCGTTGTCATTGAGCCGCTTGGCCCTGTAGGTCTCATAGTGGATGTTGTGTGTCACTTCCTTGAGGTCCTGGAGGTGGGTCCTGATGGACACAGGGTGAGAAGAGAGAGGGACGCGATTAGGGGCGGGAGGAGGAAGAGGTGACCATATCTGAGGTTAGTTAGTACATCGCTTCCATGGCCTGGACCCAATCACTGGGACCCACTCCAGAGAGCCCAGAATACCTCTCAGCCCCTTCTGCTTCATGAAGGGAGCTGGAACTGGGGCAGAAAGCTCTGTCAGAGAGGCCTGGAGACTGAGGAAGTGGATCTCAACTGATGGCCTCCTGACCCCAAAAAATAAAACTGACATCTGAAGGAGGAGTGCATCTTACCTGATGACAAAGTCTCGAAGCAGGGCGAACTCACAGTGGTTGAGGTTTTCCACTGTGAACAAAACAAAACAGGTGGTCATTTCACTAATGCAGCCACACCCATGGGTGAACGTGTATTCAGGTCACGGAGGCGTTAGGAGAGAGCCACAGGACAGGTTACTGTGACCCTTCCAGAGGTTTGCTCATCTGGGCACTCAGTGCACTGGATTTTATTCATTCAACAAATATTTATTAAGCAGCTACAATGGCACAATACTGTTCTAGACTCTGTGGAATAATAGCTAATAGGGACTATTTCCTATTTTATAGAAAAGGAAACTAATACACAGGGAGTCTAAGAAACTTGCCCAAGGCCTAAAACACAATTCCTATCTTAAAGGAGCTAATAATCTGATTGGAAGACAGTAACACACACAGAAAATGACAATCGAACCATCTTAAAAGATCATGCACTACATGATAAATCTAATTCAACATAGATTGAGTGCCCACTATTTGCAAATCACTTGCCAAGGATTGTGGGAGCAGAAGAGGATTAAGACATAAACCCTCTAGTCTCACAATCTAATGAGTAGGACAGACATTCTCATAAATAATTCCAATTCAAGGCAGATGATGAGAAAATGCTATTTTTTAAAAAAATCCAAACAAAGGGTCATAGGAAAATGAGAGACGACATATGATAAATGTGATACAATGGGATGAACTTGGTTTTGGAATCAAAATATCTGGGTCTGAAATCCAAGTTTCACCACTAACAAGTCATGCGATCTTGGGCAAGATGCTTAACCTGCCTGAGACTCAAGTCCCTCAGCAGCTGATGTTCTGAGAACAGTCACGCCGAGCCTGCTCCCCTCAGAGGGTTAGCGTATTAATGAGATCATTGAAGTGATTCTTTGAACTTTCAAATCGTTATGACCTTCCCAAGGTCACATCCACTCATAATAAAAAAAGGCAACATCTGAACAACCCTTCAGCGGTTGTCAGATCATGTCCTCCTTCATGTGAAAACCTTTCTCTGGTTTTTCCAGTCCTTATTAATCTCTCCATGTTCTGCACTCCTTTGACATGTGACTGCCTCCCAGTCAGGTGCTGAATCAGTCTTTTATTACTTCCTGCCTATGAGCCTCATCTTCTCAATTAGATAGGAAGCTCCTTATGGCAGGCATTCATTTTATATCTTACCACCTAGGACAGTGCCTTCACCTATAGATGCTTAGTAAGTAAACATAATTGACCAGCAGCCAGTTCTTCAAGAAGAAGCATTGAATTACCTTCAATGATCCCCCAGGGTGTTTTTCTGCCAAGGACTCGCTTGCCATTCACTTGGTACTCCTTGTCACTTCCCACCACAGCGAAAGGCATGCTCTCCTGCTGGAGGGGGAGGGGCAGAAAGACAAACCAGAGACACGCATGCACGTCATCCTCTTACGACCTGAGCCTCCAAGGGCAGGATGGGATATGGTCCTGGGCTTCTAGCCTTGAACTGCACATTTCTGAGGCTCATTCAGTGATCCCATTGATGGCAAGGGCAAGGCTCTTGTCTCTCAAAAAGAGCGCTGGACTGGGAGTCCAAAGTCCTCTATACCCCCTGCCTAGCTGGTTAACCTCAGTAAGTCAGCTCTCCTTCAACTGGAGAATGCTTCATACTTTTCAAAGCTCTTTAACACATATTTGCTTTGATCGGGAACAACTCTGTGAGCTAGCTAGGCTAGACAGACCTCTCTTAAATGATACCCACCCAGTAACAGCCAAAGTACTGATGCTTACACTGTCTCCCATAAAACCTACTGGCAGAGACCAGCGTCTGCTGATCTCCCAGAGCTCGAAGGGCACTTTCTGATGTGCACAGGCTCCTCTGCTCCACCAGGTGGGTTGTATGTTCACCAAGAGTCAGCTGTTTGTTGTCAAATCTATTTGACTGATGTGTATTGTTATCGTAATTGGATAAATTAAGTATTATATAAGCTGAGGACATACGTGTGTGGAGAGTTTTGTCTCTGAAAATTAAGTTGAATGTTTCAGAAAGACTTGATAAAGGTGAGTTGCTTTTGCATTAAGAGGGGACTTATCCTCAAAGAAGAGGCCTTGTCTCTATATGAAAATAATGTTTAATGAATGTGACATATGTTTTAAATTATTTTAACTGAATAATTCAGTAAAATATTTATTTTAAAACATTGAGGATTTGTATGTATCATATTTTTAATGATTTCTTCACTTCAATTGACTTTTTCAATTAACTGACCAAGTACCTGTCTCAACCACATCAGATAAGGGGCTTCTACCAGATGCCCACACTTGATGGAGGAGGAGACTCAAGCCAGAGCGAGTGAGTGATCTGCCCCAGGTTACAGCGGTGAGTTAAAAAGCCCCAAGTGGAGTTCAGGATTCTGATGTAGAATCCCAGATTTGTAGAAGTTTAGAATTGAGAGGGATCTTAGAAATCACATAGGCCAATGGCTTAAAAGCCTTGAGATTCCCAGGAGATACCGCAGGGGCTGCTGAGAAGGCAGGGCTCTGGACCCTGTATCACTTAGCCAAAGCAGCTCTGTTTTTATGTTTTACATATTGGAGTTATGTCTGACATTTAATTTTTTTAAAAAGTTTCTTCTAGGGGGAAAAAAGCCTATAAGCCACTCACCTAGTCTGACCTCTGAATTTTATAAAGGGGGAAACTGATGCAGAGCTCTGACTAGAGCACAGATGCCTTGGACCCCAGCCTGATGCTTTTCCTGCCTGTGGCTTTCCTCACCCCCACTCTGGTTCTGCCAGGCCCTGTGGGGGAAGAAGAGGCTTTTGTGTGGTCTGGGGATGGATGGGAGCGTGGGCTTCCTGGGCGCAGGGTTCACAGTGATGGCCAGGGCCCCTAGTCCTCATCCTCTCCCACATCACTTCTGGTCTGGGTCAGGCAAGTGGGGCAGGGCGTACAGAAGGGAAAAAGTGGGTGGAAAGAGAAGCAGTACACGATACACATCCCACGGGACCAAGGGGGCATCTGCATGATGAACAGAGCCCCAGGCACCCACCCGGATTTTGTCATTCTCCGTCTTGTCCTCCAAATCCTCATCAAATTCCTTCTGGGGGTAGAATTCAATGCCATTTACTTCAAGCTCCTTGCGAACCTATAGGTGAGGAGGAAAAGCAAGGTAGCCAAGTGTCAGGATAATGGGAGAGAGGTGTGGGGGGGGTGTGTGTGCACATGTGAGCGTGTGTGTGCACGCGCACATGCTGAAGTCAGAGGGATGAATGCAGCCTTTGATAATCCCCAGTCATCTCTGAACTCTGAGGCCCTGGGCAGCAGGAAGATCCTAAATAAAAGCGAGCCCCAGTCATACCATTACCACAGCCCAGCCTAAGATGAGGCATAGTGTGGGGGTGCAGCTTGCTCATCTCAGGATCCATAAGATTAGGATTTAGACAAGCAGGACAGCTGAGTCCAGATTCCACATGGACAGTGCTCATGCCGCCACGTGTCATACTCCTGTCTACAGGGAAGAAAGGTGAGTTCCCCCCCCACCCCCAAGCCTCTCTTTGCCCTCTTTCAAAGCTCGGCTTAAGTCGCACCTCTTTCAGGAAGCCATCCAGGACCTCTTCAGTGGTCTACTTGATTTAAGTTTCTTGAAGGCAGCAACTGTCTTTATACTTCTCTCACATCCCCCCACCCCCAAACCCCATGCATCCAGCACAGGGCGGAGATTATAGAAGATACCAATAAGGACTAGCAGGCCTTGATCAATTAGTCTAGTCCTTCAAGCAACCTAATATTGAGGAGCGGTTTCTCATGTTCATGATGATTTATGTATTCAGTGGTCTTCACCGGTAAGTTTGGAAGGTGAGAAGAAGACAGCCTGAGGCTGCACTAACTTCTCTTCCCTGTTGGTCCCCAGACACCACCAGCCCAGCCTCTTTAACTCTTAAACGGGAGCTGGGGAGGAAGGTGTGGAGGTGAGGGATATAATAATGAGGGATAGGAGATGGCTTGGACCGGAGGAGGGGAAGGAGGGATGGGCACAGTAAAAGGCGGAGGGGGCCTTCTCACCCTTTGCTTGAATTCAGACTTCTCCTCCAGGGTCATGGTGTCAGCCTTAGCAATGACAGGGATGATGTTCACAACTTTGCTGAGGTGTTTCATGAACTCCAGATCAAGAGGTCGCAAGCTGGGGCCCAGAGAAGGTGAGGTGTCAGAGCCACCTTGCCCTCCCCCACTCAGCCACTGCCATCACTCCAGGGTCACCCTTGGGACAGGAAGACTGGGCTGGGAACCTGGCTGAGGCCAAGAAGCTGCTCCCTCTCATCTCTGACATGCACCTACCATCTATAGAACAGGCTCCAACTCTGCCCACATGCTGTCCTCCATCTCCCTGTCTCTTCAAATCCTGCCCCCCTTTATGCCACATTCAAACCACTCCTTCACAACATCTTTTCTGACCTGGGGATTTCTTTCTCCCAGGAATGGCTGTGGACTGTCATCCCCATCCACAGGTCCTTGTGTCGTGGTTACTTGTATGTCTCTTATTTGGCCTACAGGACAGCACTTCTTGACAGGCCTCCTCCCAGCTCCCAGTTAGTCCTGCAGGGGCCCAGCTGGGGGCCTTGCCCCTTCTCCATTTGAGGACCCAGCTCCCCACGGGTTCTAGGGCCCCAATCTGGCTCCAGTTCCAAGTCCAGGGGACTCATTAAGTCAGGTTGTCTGCTGGCTTGCTCTGACCTTGGGTCCAGGTTCTAGGGAGGGGTAAAGCTAGCCTTTTTATTGAATTCCTGGGCCCCACCATCAATACCTGCTGAGTACCTGGTTCCTCCGAAATCTGGGGCATGCCTTGCTTGTGCCATCCTCTCAGGAACTGACCTCTGGCCCAGCAGCCAGGCTCAGTACTAAGTTATGAGACCTCCCCCAACAGGAAGGTTGCCTGCTCACCCACTTGGATCTCTCCATCCTCCGCTGGCACTCCCTATCACGCAGCCCCGCCTGCTACTCACAACCAGAGTTCCCAGCATGCCTCGCTTGTGGCCAGCCTTCATCTCTAGACACCTGGCTCCGCCCTCCAGATGCCCACAGCTGGGTCCCACACCCACCCAAACACCAACCCAATCCAGTAGCCCTGTCCGTCCACATTTCACCCTTCTTGCTGTCCCACCCCCATCCCAGCCTTGTGCAAAGCAGGTATCTATTGAATAAATGAGGAGCCCTCTGCTCACTTATACCAACTTCTCGCTGCTGGCACTGTCATGCTATGGTGCGGGAACACCAGTAGGCAGCATGAGGGCTGATAGTCAGCTTTACTCTCCTGGCAAGAAAATCAGCCTTTCTTGGGGAAAGTCTGGGGAATCCCAAGGTCCCCGCCATGACTATATTGGGGCCCATCTGGCCCTTGCCAGTGGAGTCCAGGTATCGATTATCCACTATAGAATGGGCACAGGTGACGCAAACCAGAGGCAGGCCCAACAATGAGGGTGGGACTGGTACATACGAGTGTCCTGTGGGGGAGATGAAGTAGAGGCAGCAGTGGACGCGAGTGTCAGGGATGCGTTTCTTCCTGGCAATATTCACCTCCTCCTTCAGGAACTTCTCGTACTGTTCATTGATGTACTTCTCAATGGGCTCCCAGCTGGCGGGGTGGGAAGAAAGCAGATGGATGTCCCAGAAGGACAGGCCCTGGGAGCTCATCTTAGGCATGGTCAAGTAGCAGTCCCCTCACATCCATCTCATTTCCTACCTCCTCTGGTGGGTCTAGAGTACCTGCTGACCATTCTCCCTCAGCCCCCTGTGGATGGCTTTCCTTGTGAGCAAGGTTAGAGCTCCCCCAGGGACCTGGCCCTCTGACTGGGCTATTGGAACCTGAAGAACCACACCCAACTCCAGAAAGCAACACACTTTTGCCACCTCCATTTCGTATTAGCTGAGAGGCTCTAGGCAAGTCTCTGCTCCTATGAGGCTTTTCTTATAAGTAAAACGGGAGTAACAATAGGTGCCTGGAGGGATTCACGAAGGATTAGAAAGAACAGATGTACGGTACTTAACATAGCAATGGCACATAGAAAGTTCTCAGTCATGGCAACAACTCATTATTATCACGACTGTTGTCATTGTTATTACCTTTCTCCATCCACGGGCACGTGTATAACCAGAGAAGAGGGCAACCAGTCATTTTTCCAAGATTGCTCTGAGTTGTTTGGTAGCCCTGCCTGTCTGTGGCTCAGAGAGGTACAATGGTCTCTATCCCTATTTGGGAGCAAACTTCTGCCTGGAACCTTCCATCTCATTCTGGGCAGCGTATTCACCCCCTTCTTGGCTGGATGCTGACTGCAGCTTCGCTCTGTGGATTCCCAGAGGCTCTCTCCTCACGGGGGACTCCCCTCTCTCCTGTTTTTCACTCCTCCTCTCTTTGTCCTGGGTGTGACATCTGGCACACAGGCCAAGCTCTCTGCCACAGCCTTCAGGTCAGCCTGGATTCACAACCTAGTTCTCCTGGTTCTGTCTGCCCTGCCCCGCTGCCAACCGTGACAGATCTGCTACCACCTCCAGGCAATCCCTTGGTAGAAATTCCCTCTGCACTGTCCCCCTCCATCCCGACACCTGGCCCCACTGGGCCTCTTTCCTTGCCTCCTTACAAATCCCCTCTCCCATCCTTTAGCAAGTAGCAGTCTTCCCGCCTAACCCCTCAGTATGGAGGGTGGAGGTGGTTCTCAGTGTGAATCAATCTGCACCGCATTCGGTATCTTCCTGGCAGTCTTTAGGGCAGAAATCTCACAGGCAGACATATACCAGTTTTCATTGTTAATCTGGTCTCCAAAGCCCGGGGTGTCGATGACGGTCAGCTTCATTTTGACACCGCCTTCCTCTATCACTGGGGGATGAACAGAAAAGGCACCAGGGAGGTCACTCTTCCAGCTCATGCCAGGTGCCCTGCTGCCTACCAGCCAGGGAGACCCAGCCTCCTTCCTTCTTCAGGACCAGTTATTGGAAAAGTCAAGTTCAGGGTCTTCCCCACTTGAACACCTTTGTTCATGCTGTTCCCTGCACCTGGAGTGCCCAGCCTACTTTCTGCCTGTCTAAATCCCACCCGGGCTTTACCATCCAGTTCAAGCCCCATTCTTTGCTTTCTAACCCCCCTCCCTCCCTCTTCTGGACTGGCACTCTAAAGAGGTGGCTCCATAGAGTTTAGGGCTTCATTCTATTCTTTTTTTTTTTTTTTTTTTGGTGAGGAAGATCAGCCCTGAGCTAACATCCATGCTAATCCTCCTCTTTTTGCTGAGGAAGACCAGCTCTGAGCTAACATCTATTGCCAATCCTCCTCCTTTCTTTTCCCCAAAGCCCCAGTAGATAGTTGTATATCATAGTTGCACATCCTTCTAGTTGCTGTATGTGGGACGCGGCCTCAGCATGGCCGGAGAAGCGGTGCGTCGGTGCGCGCCTGGGATCCGAGCCCGGGCCGCCAGTAGCAGAGCGCGCGCACTTAACTGCTAAGCCACGGGGCTGCCCCTATTCTATTCTGTCTTGAACTTGCCTTTCATTTGTCTCATTCCCCAATAAGCCCCATTCTTTTCCTTTCTGGCAGAGGCCCTTCTGCACAATGCCCATAGGGGTCCCTCCCTGGTCCTCACCGTGCCCGATAGCTTTGATCTCCACTGTCTTGGGAATCTTCTCTTCCCGGTTCCAACTGGAGGCCTTGCGGCTCACTTGAGATTTAAAGAGTGTGTTGACCAGTGTTGATTTGCCCAGCCCACTCTGACCTGCAGAAAGGCAAGAGGAGGAGAAGGCAGGGAGACCCCATGTCCACCTCCTGAGCCTAATAGCTCTCCCCTGGGCTTACAGAATTCTAGGGCTGTGATCCAGGCCAATCTCTTGTTTGACGGCTCACTGGTGGAGGAGGGGCTGAGTAGGGAGAGCAGGAAGGTGGCAATAGTTTTCTGCTTCCTGCTTTCCTCCATGACTGATCATGGAGAAGAACTTGGGGAAATGTCCATTGAATTCCACATTCTCACCCTCCTAGAGCCCCAGGACCAGTGAGAAAGCAGACAACCTCTGCATTTGCCTAGCATAGCAGGTTTTTGTCTTGTTTTTGCTTGACTTAAGTTTATAGTCTTTAATAATACTAAAAGTAATAACAGAATTACTTTGCATTCTGATACTGCCTCACAGTGCATATGCACTTTCACATCTGTTAACAAAATTTGCCTTTATATCAGCCCTGAGAATCCCACGGCAGAGCTGTCTTTATCCCCAGGTGAGGTGGTCCTAGAGAGATTAAATCCTACCCAACATAAAATATGTGCAAGGTCACATAACTAATAAACGCAAGACCAGGGACTTGAACCCAAGGAACCCCTTGGGTCCATATCCACTCTTTATTCTATGTAGCAGTTAGTATCTCCCTGATACTAACTGTGGGAGGAAGAGGAGGAGGAAGCTGAGCAGGCAGGGCCAGCCCCTCACCTCCACTTCCTGCAAGATGGCTCCCTTTTGACCTGTTTTACACATGCAGTTCTGGATTTCATTCCAAGGAGGAGTTCCACAGCTAAAAAGTGTTTGAAAACCACTGGTCTGAGCAGTGTTGCTCAAACTTGATGGTGCACAAGAATCACAGCCGCGAGCCTGGCAATTGACGAGTGGCATTGACATCACCCGACACTTGTAGGAATGCAGGATCCCAGGCCCCACCCCACCCCTATGACTCAGAATCTGCATTTTAAAAGGACTTCCAGATGAATCACATGGACAGTAAAGTCTGAGAAGCATTAGTCTAGAGCATTCCTGTGGTATATTAGGAAAAGGACCAGGCTGGGGGACAAAAGCCTAAGGTTCTAGACCCAACTGTGCTGTTTCCCTGAATGCCTTTGGACCAGCTGTGTTTGCCCCGCTGGGCCTTAGGTTCTTTACTGATAAGATGGTAAGGAGGGAGGGAATTGGATGAAACCAGGGATGGCAAATAAGGTGCATTTCTCTTCCAACTGATCAATTGGTAGTAACCACCTACACCGATGTGTTAAAAAGGCTACATATGGGCTCAGGACTAAACACGTGCCATGACTGATCAGTGATGTCGGCCACAGGTGCTGCTGAGGAGAGACGTGGCCCACAGGTCTTATGCTTGCCATTCTTGGTCTGGATGTTTTCTAAGGTCATTGTTCATTAAGTATTCTTGAGTGCCAAGTACTGTGCTAGAATTGGAGGTAGAGGGGGGAACAAGACATCATCCTCATCCTCAAGGAGTGATTTAGTGTGAGGGAGACCAAAACATAAGCAGACAATTACAATATGTTGTAATAACCACTGTGAAAGAGATCATTACAGGGTACTATAACAGTGTAATGAAGGGAATCTAATCCACTCTCTCTGGGATCAAGGAGGACTCCTAGGAAGAAGCAACAACTAAGCTGAAACCTGAAGAACTTCAAATGACCCATGAGAAGCTGGAAGGGAGTTCTAGATAGAGGAAACAGTACATGCTCTTTCCTACCTCTAGGGTAGGAAAGATCATGGCAAGTCCAGAAGAAATGTTCGTTATAAGTGAGGAGTACAATGCTACATGGGAAGTGGTAGGAGATCCATGGAGAGGTAGCCCCAGGCCAGACCAGGAGTTTAAACCCTTAAACTTATTGAAGGGTTTTAAGGATGGGTGACTTGATGAGTTTTGCAGGTTAGAAAAACTATTTGGTCACTGGTGGACAATGGATTGAAAGGAAAAGAGACAGAGAACCAGGAGGGTCAGCACCACTCCAACTGTGGCCCGTGGCCCAGCTGCCAGGGTCCATGAACCATTTGCTACTGGTTCCTGAGATAAGAAGTTTGCACCAGAAAGTAAATCAACTACACCACTAAGCACACTGTTTGGTTCAGCCGATGTTTTTTATAGCAAGACTTTCTAGATGATTTACACTCTGGTCCAGCTCCTTATGTTTGAGCAGCACTGGGTCAGGTCGCCATGGCAATCCAGGTGAGAGATCTGCCTTGGCCTAGGGTGGTAGCAGTGGAGATGGAGAAAGTGGACAGACTTGTGAGATGTTTACAAGGTAAAATGGACAGGACTTGATGACTGGATCGGGGGATAAAGGAGGAAGAAAGAAGGATGATGCCTAGATCTCTGTTTCAGCAACTGAGTAAATATCTCATTGAGATCGGGCAAAGGTCCCTTCCTGCTCTTACATTCTGTGACCCAGTGACACTGCTTAGTGACCAATCCATGTCCTGGAAATTCTCTCTAAGCTTTACAGCACTACAAAAGATCAGACATAAAACTATCCTTCATCTGATATTCAAGCTCTGATCCTGAAGCCACCCAGCTCTTGGAGATGGGGAAGGACACTGATGACTCCCCCATGCCACACACCTGAAAGCAGGCTGAGCATGGCTTAGAGGCTTCCTGTGTACACCCAGCTGGTGACGGGGCCAGGCCGACCATCCACCCAAAGCTCCCACCCCTGGATCAGCTAGCCTTGAAGGGAGAGGAGGTTCAGGACTTTGCAATCAACACAATGAAATCTTCCCTCCTAGAAAGAGCTCATCCGAGAGAAGCCGGGGCTGAGGCCATCCTAGGGAAAGAAATGGGGTCCTCAGTGCTGCCTGCCACCAGGGCCTCTAGTGACCCCCGCCCCCAGCCTTTCATACCAACGACCATGATGTTGAAGTCAAAACCAGTCTTCATGGTCTTCTTGCGCATCTGCTCGATGATGGTGTCAATGCCAATGTAGCCCAGCAGGTTGGAGTTGATGCTGACAGGCTTCATGGGCACTGCCGGCTTAGGCCTGGGCTCAGGCACCAGCTCTGACATGGCTGCGTCCGTCCTGGTCTCTGGGAGCCCTGTAAAGCCAAGATAGGAGGAGTGGGTTGGAGGAAAGCAGAGGTCACACGGAAGCCACAGTATTATTCTCTTGATCAGAATCATACAGAGTTGGACCAGAAGGGACCTTAGATGTCATCCAGTACAGGTCCCTCATTTCATAGATGAAAAGACTGAGGCTTAGAGAGGAAAGGGTTCTTAGGACCTGCTTAAGAACACAGCAAGTCAGATGCAAAATCTGGACCAGTACCTAGATTCTCCAGTTGCTGGGGAAATTCAAATGTACCTCATTGCTACAAAGCACCACATCTGTATGTCTGATCCAGGGGTTTCTCCACCTTGGCGCTATTGACATTTTGGGCTAGATAATTATTGTGGGGGGCTCTCCTGTGCACCACAGGATGTTTAGTGGCATCCCTGGCCTCCAGTAGATGCCAGAAGTAGCCCCCCAGTTGTGACAAACAAAAATATCTCCAGACAGTGCCAAATGTCACCTAAGGGCAACACTGCCCCAGTAGAGAACTACTGGTCTAAGAGATGTCTGGGGTTATTCTCACCTGAGTCCTGCCTCCCCAAATAAAGGGCAAAGACCTTTTAGGATACTGGACCTAACATCTATGGACTGTCTGCCACTGACTTCAGTTGCTTTGTCTTTCAGAAGCAAATAGGGCTACCCACTCTCTGCAGAGTGAGCACCACTCCTGTCTCCCAGCCTCAGTGTCCCCTCTGTTCCATGAGCACTGTGGCAAACTAGGGGTGTCTGGGCCCTGAGGAACCCCAGACACCCTCCTAGCCATAGTTTTAAATCTATGGGAGGAATAAGTCTCACCTTTTGACCAGGAGAGAGAGGATAAGCCCCATATAGGGGCAGTCACTTGCCTAAGATGACACAGTGTATCTTGACTGGTGGGTGGCAAAACAAAGGGGAGGCTGAGGGAAAGGTCCCCTCTGGGTCTAGCAGATCATGGGTATGTTCACACACAAGAGAAATCTGTGCGATTCCTCATCAGGACACTGTCCACCAGGGTGAGTTTCAGGATAGAGCATCCATTTCCCCACCCACAAAATGAGTGTGTGTCGAAAGTGGAAAGAGCCTGGCTCCACTACTTGCCAGCTTTGTGGACTTGGACGAACCACCTCCCCATTCTGAGCCTGCTTCCTCATCTGTAAAACAGTTAGGATGATGATGAAGGCTGTGGTGAGCATTACATGAGGTACGATGCCTGGAAGCACCCGGCACAGCACCTCACACTTCCAGACCCTCTTGCCTCTGCCCCTTTCACGTTTACGGGCTTGTCAGGAGGGGAAGTGAAGCGAAGCATGTAAAAACACTTGTTAGAGGGAGGTGCCCCGGACGCTAATTACACAGCGTAGTTACTGGACTCACGGTCTCTTGAGGACCCCTTCCAGTGCTGCCATTCTAAAATCCTATGGTTCATGGTTACGGCCCTGCAGAGTCTTGGGCTTACAAGGAGGATTGATGGAGCAGCAGATGGGCAAGAGGGAGAGGGGACAGGAGTACCTCCCTCCCCCACCCCCAAACCCAGCCAGAAGTATGTTCTTGTACCCCTGCCACCTGGTCTTTCCACCAGTCCTGGCAAGACTCTCTCCCCCAATGGGAAACTGTTCTGTCCTTGTCACTCCCAGGCACAGCCAAATCTGACAAAGCCTCGGGATCTCCCCAGGGCCTGGCGTGGCTCCCTCCTGCTTCCCAGGAAGCTGTTGCCAGCCAGGCAGTTCGAGACGGTAGCAAGATTGGCTCAGCCCCGCAGCAGCTGACTCTCAGCAGCCCAGCCTGCTCCTCCACTCTCCGCACGTGGCTCCTGGGCCCCACTCAGCACACCTGCAATGGGGGCCAGCAATGCCCCATTTTCCCTGCACAGCTGCTGACACGGCTGGCCCTTTCCATGTCCCCCGTGCCTCTACAGCCAAGCCCATTTGGTCTCCACAACCTGTGTTGTGAGATAGATCCATCTAAGTGTGTGTTTGTGGAGGCAGGGGGGTCTTACCCCATTTTATAGCCCTGGAAAGTGAATCTTGTACTTAATTAAGGGAGTTTTTGTAAGTATTCTTATAAAGCGTGTGTCCTCCCTGGCCCGTCAACTGCAGCATTCTAAAAGATCATTCCCAAAAGACAGACCCTGGTTGCGAGAAGGGGCCTGCCCACCAGATTCCCAGGCAACTTCTAGGGGCCCCAGCAGGCCTGCTGCAGGTCCAGGACATGAGCCATCTTACCTTCATTCTTCCAGCAGGCACCTACTGGCATCCATGTGCACACAGTATAAAGCATCTGCTGGCAAGTCGCCCCTCCCAACCATATGCCAATTACATGCCAGTCACATGCTAACAGCCACCACCCATCAGCCACAAGTCCTGCAAACGTGCGGCGGGTCACTATGTCCCAGACTTTGCTGGAAGACCCTTTGCCCACTCCAGCCCCTGACTAACTCCTACTCTTCACCACTCAGCCCAAGTACCGCCCCTCAGGAAAGCCTCTGCTTTCATGTCTGATGTGGACGCCCCTCTTCTGTGCTGCCTTGGCCCCCTGAGTACCTTGGTACTCAATAAATTCATTCATTCATTCATTCATTCATTCTATCCCATCCAGGCCATTTCATATGCTGTCAAATGGGAGCCTAATCCAGCCAAACTCCAGACTAAATGCCAAGGACACTTGTGGACCCTAGATAAGGTCCTTGCCCCCAAGGTCCCACTGACAAGCACACAAAGACATCCAGGGCCCAGGACAAATGCTGCTCTGGAGTTGATTGTGTGGCTCCATCCTCTGCCCCCACAGCTCCTCGGCTCCCACCATGCCATCCTCAAATGGGCAGCTGACCCAGGCTTGACTGCTGGCTAGGTGACCCCTATGAGCCTCAGTTTTCTCCTCAGGACAATGTGGATAGTACCTACCTTGCTGGGTTGCTGTGAAGGTGATACAAAAGCATGGACATAAATTACCTGGCATTGAACATATGCTAGTTCCCAGCCTTCTTCAGGGCAGAGGCCACGTCTCATTGATCTCTGTGCCCCAATGTACCTAGCGTAACAGGGGCACTCAGCAATGAATGAATGAATGAATGAATGAATGCCTCATAGGGAGGCAGATGTCATTTTAGACCCATCATCTTTCTCCTCCCTCAGATGCTGAGCCCTTTGCAGAGCAGCTGACCCCCAGCCAGCAAACTGCTCTCGTGTAGGACACAGCTAAGGCGGTAGACTCTGTTAAGAGAGACCTTCTCCCTCCCCTGCAACAGGGATTGGAGGGGTGCTCCCCAAGTGGGGAAGAGCTCAGGATGGGATCACAGCTGGATGTAGCTCAAGTATGCCATCCTGGATAGATGCTTCCAGCTCTCCCAGGGCCCCTGGAGAGGAGGTGATCTGTTTGCAGCATCCCCTGCCAGGAGCCACCTGCCCCATCAGTGCTCCAGGGAGAGGCATTGTCCCCCTGACTCAGCTCTGGCTGAGTCCCCCACAGAAATAGCACCCCTCCATCCCCATGCCAAGCAAGGCCCCCGGTGCTATCTTTCATAAGTAAATGAATGGCTTTGTCTTTGTCTAGCCCAGGGACCCCACCCCTCAGTTGGGAAGGTGGCAGCAGGGGGAGGGACCTTTCCAGAATAGCACCTGCCTCCGTGGCTTAGTGGGGGTGGGACGGTGGGGAGGTTCTTCCTTCCTAAGCCGGAGATCCTCCCCAGCCCCCAGCCCCTAGCAGCCTTCAAGACCCCGCCCCCACAAGCAAAGGCAATTCCAGTCCACCCCAGCTCCAGCTCCGGCTCTCAGAAAAAGAATCACAAAAGATATCTTATTCCTTTCCCATTCGCAGGAGCAAAGGGCCCTGGGACACCCCCTTCCCCCATCCCAGTCCTCCGGAGGCCAAGGAGTTCCCTTGGAGACCACCAGCTGGTGCCTGTCTCAGTGTGCGTCTGTCTGTGTGGGGGAAGGGGTCTGTGTCAGAGCACAGGTCCCTCGTCTGGCGGTAGGCCTTGATACCTGTGCGTGGTGTGCATGTGTGTGCGTGTCTTGGTGTGCTCCAGCATGGGGCTCTCTGCGCGCATCTGGGTCCATGCTTGCGTGTCCGTAGGTCTCTGTATCTCCCCACTTGCCCGTGTGTGCATTTCTGCGGGCATGTATATCCTGGAATGTGTGCCGCCGTGTGTGCGTGTGTCCGTGCCTATGTCACCGCGCGTGGGCTCCTCGGCGCAGCAACCCTCCCCCTGGTAGCACCTCCAGCCGGGCTTTTCCGGGCCGCAGCCTCCTCCCGGCGGTCGCCGGTGGCCGAGCCGGCCGCCCTACCTTTGGACATGAATCCTTCTTTGTCTCCGTTCCTCCGGGAAGATGCTCAGGGAGCGAGGCTTCAAGGCTGCGCGGGGCGCGGACTCCTCCTGGGCCGAGCGGCCCCTGCAGCCGGGCCTCGCCCCTTGGCGCTCTCCGCTCACCCGCCCCGCCCGCCGCCCGGCC